ACACAGAGGAAGATCCTGTCTGAAAATCGACCAAACAAAAATATATACTGGGGAACGTACCCACACTTAACTGTGACATATTTTTTTCTGTTGTTTTAATTTTATGTTCATTCGGTGTTTTAATTCATGTATGTCTGTACAAGGTTGTTGGATCCCTGTAACACGAGTTTCAGACAGGTGTGAGCTGCCATGTAGATGCTGGGGATTGAACCAGGAACCAGGAAGAACGGCCAGTGCTCTCAAGTGCAGAGCCATCTTTCCAGCCCTGTGATATATATTCTTATTGCACGATCACACTACACCTAAAATAAGAATGATTGGTTTTTATTGTTGTTGTTGTTGTTGTTTTGTTGTTGTTGTTGCTATAGACAGGGTCCCATGTGTTCCAGGGTGGCCTTGAACTCTCTCTGTAGCCAAGAGTGACCTTGAACTTCCTTATTCTTTGCCTGTACCTTCTGAGTGTTAATACAAGTGTGCAACACTTTGCACATTTTATTCAATGTTGAGAGGATCAAACAACGAGGGAAGCATTATGCCAACTATGTACATACCCAGCTTCAGAATCATTATTCTTTAAGGAAAAAAATAGTAGTATTAGGTCTAGGTCTGGGTTCGGAACCCAGCTCCTCCCCTTGGCAATGTGGCTTGCTTGACGGACTCAATCTTTCTGCTATTTTATTGCTCCCTGTTGATTGTCTTAACCTATGTTAGGCTACTATCACAAAATACCTGACGTTGGGTTATTTATTAAGGAAAGATGCTTATCTTGCTCATCACTCTGAGGAATGAAAAGTTCAAACAGTGCTGGAATAGTGGCAAGAGCACCCCCTGGCTGTGTCACAACACATCAAATGGCATCATGTGCTAGAAGTGTATTCCAGAAGAGATTGCTGGACAATAGAGAATGCCAAAATGAGAGTCCAAGTTCCCTCTTTTCTAACAACTGGTCCCCCAGGGGGATAACCCAGTCCCAGGAGCCCTGCCCCATTAACATATGATGACACTAGCTCTTTAATGAGTCTGGAGCCCCTGTGACGTGATTACCTTTCTCTAGGCCCCACATCTTAAGATTCTGCCATCTCAATAACTCTACTTTGGGGGTGACCCTTTCAGCTCTTGAGACATTTCAGGGACAAGCCAGAGGCAGGTGAGAACAGCAAGGAGCCTGTCCTCTTTGTGAGAACTAAACACAGTTTTGTCACAGTGAAGGCCTGTGTCTTTGTCCTATAGGCCATTCTGAGGATACTCAAAGATGCAGCCCTCAGCCTGTGAGCTCAGCACCCTTTGCTGTACAGAGCTTATACATTGGAAGGCTTGGCCACTGTCACCCACCCATTCCCCGGCCACTGCCTCAGTCTTGCCTAGGTCGGAACTTTGCTCCCCTGCCTTTATCCTTTCTCCAAGTCTGTTGATCTGCTCTCAGCAGCTTTTCTTTGCCTTCTAGAGACTCTCAGACCAGGGCCCTTGGATATGGTTTCTGCTGTGTCATCCTTATCGAAGCAAAGAGAGCTCCAGATGCTATCTGAAAGGGTCCCCAAGCAAGGGAGTGACAGGAACCAACTATCTTTTGTTACTCATTTAAAAGATAAGCTCCTGTCATAGACACACAGAAGAGGAAGGGTCAACCAAGCAGGCATAGCTGCTGGGGACCCTGTTCTCTGTTCTGTGTCTAATATCTGTCACCCCCCTTCCCCTCAGGGAATCGGTGACTTGTGTGTGTGTGTGTGTGTGTGTGTGTGTGTGTGTGTGTGTGTGTGATTGTGATTGTGTGTGTGTGTGTGTGTGTGTGTGTGTTGCTGGGAGATAGCTGCCATAGCAGAAAGAGAAACTACAGACAGCAGTATCTTCCTGACTCAGCAGGAGATGGACAGCATTGACAGTTCATGCCCAGCCTACTCTAGGAATAAAAATGGAACATACAGTCACGTAAACTATGGGCCGAGGATCAAGTGAAACAAAGGCCTTTAGGCCAAGCTGGCAACACATTATAGCTGGGTAGGCCCTGAAGTCCAGAGCTGCAGTCAGCAGGGCCATTGGGAAGTTGGTCTAGTACCTTTCAGACACTTGATGCTGGCCAGAGCTCCCTGGCAGAGATTGCATATCCAGGACCAGAGCTTAGCCTGTGTTAAAGTCATGACCATCGTGAGGAAAACAAGGGTGGTCTCCATGATTGATGAGGTGGAATATCCACCTGGCTGCCAACTCCCATAAGGGCACAGAATGGCAGGAGGGATTCATTGGTCCCAGGCCTGGAGGCAGAAGACTCCATTGCGTTGGTCTACTTGCTGTGTCCTGAGCTAGCTGGAATAAACCTGGGGTTTCAAGGAGTCAGATTCCTTGGAGGAGCTGGCTCATGTACCTGGCCCTGGGCTTGGGACCTCTCTACCAACAGATGGGCCTTGGAGAAGGTGTTCTAAAACAAAATGCCCTGTAACTCACACCCTGTGATAGTTAATCTTGGTTGCCATCCTCATACACTGGGAAAAGAGAATCACAGTTGAAGAATTGCCTCCATCAGGCTGGCCTATGGGAATGTCTTTCTTGACTAATAACTGATGGAGGGAAGCCCAGCTCACTCCCAGGCTGTAGAAGGAAGCAAGCTGAACAGAAGCAGGAAGCAAGCCAGTGAGGTCCTCCATGGTCTGTGTTTCAGCTCCTTCCTCCAGGTTCCTGCCTTGCCTTCCTCAATAGCAACCTAGAACCAGTGAGCCAAACAAACTCTTTCCTGCACAAGTTGTTTTTGGTCAGTGTTTTATCAAAGCAACAGGAAAGCATATTGGGGACCCCTCCCCCCAAAAAATCATCAGGCTGAGAATGATGTCAGCAACAACAGTTACCACACTGGAGAAGAGATTGGTGCTTCTGAAACATTTTTAGGAAGCCTTGTGGCTAAGACTTGGAGCACATGGTTTGCCTAAACAACTATACCAACTTGTCAGCCCAGCTTCAAGACGTGCCTCAGGCCGGCTGCAGCCTCACAGTGACTCCAGTGTCCCTCTACAGAAAACGCACGAAGGGGTCACTGTGTGATGCCTAGGGGGTTAGGGTCAGAAGGGTTCTCTCTGAGACCTTTAGGACCCAAGAAGTCATCAAGCTGGCAGTTGGGTTCCCTGGTGACCCGGGTCCCTACGTGCCCTCTCTCAGCACACCTAGGCGAACCAAGGATGGTCTCATCTCTTATTTCTCAAGAGAAACTGAGGGCTCTCGATGGTTCCCATCGAGAACTTGTGAAATCTTCCAAGTTTCAAGTGCTGTGAACAAAATTAGGTATTTAAAAAAAAAATACCTCGTAGCCCCAAGGAGTACTCTTGGGTCTGCTCTTCCCCTGGGGCCGCCTGTGTGACCCTGAGCAAATAAGGGCAGAAGGTGGCGTCCAGCTCCTTCCCCGGGGGACGACGTTTTTTTTCTGTGGAAATTACCATCTTCTTTGCTTCCCAAGGTGGCTCTGAAGGTGAGCTGTCCCTGCTCGCTGAAAATGCAAAGAAATAAATGCATGAAAACAGAGCAGCAATCCTTCAAGCCCTGTGTCAGGGTTAGGTCCCAGGCGGCTCCGCTGGAAGCGTCGGGATGGCCCTGAATCATCTCCAGGCAGCTGAGCAGAGCCACACTCAGCTCTGCACGGGCCCTGCCTGTAGGGTTGGCACATTCCCCGTGCCTAGGGTAGCCCTGGGCAGGGCCTGCCTTGTTTGTGTATGTGTGCATGTAAGTGCATTGTATACACATGTAAGCATATGGTTATGCAGTATAGATGTGCATTTGTGTGTTTTAACATATATGTGTCTGCCTGCAGGCAGCATGCATATATATATATGTAGACATATGTATATATACGTATGGTTTGTACGTGTGTGTGTGTGTGTTTTACACTGTCAGTTTGCCCTGTTAAATGTAAGCTGCCAGGCATGAAGCATTTGTCTTGTTGTCTGCCACACAAGGGTTCCTTATCTGTGAAACGGAGACAGTAATTTGTACTGAAGATGCCCAGTATGTGGCTAGTGGAGAGATTTGCTGGGTGGCAGGGAATAGGACCATATGCCGAGCTGCCTTGTGTCTTCGTGAGCTACTACCCTCAGATGTCTGGTCTCAGCGGTGTGAAACAGATGGGAATCGAGGCAGACAGCGTAGCTGTAGAGGCAGTGGGTGTGTCGTCCTGGTCCTGAGGGTGCTGCAAACCCTTACCCTCAGCTGAGACCCCTCAGGTCCTGCTTCTCAGCATGACCACTGTCTAGCCAGGCACTGACCATTTAGGGGAAGGCAGGTAGTTTCCTCCCAGGGCAGACTGTAGGAGGTGTCTTGAGAGGGACTTATGTGGGTCTCTGAGCAATTCCATCAACACTGGGGTTGGGGGCAAAGTTCCCCTGGTGGAGAAGGGTCCAGGCATGATAGTCCTGACCCAGAATATGGGAATCAGACTGGTCCATTCCTTGAAAGATTGAGAGAGTTCTGGGAGGAGAGCTAGAGGTGAGGAGACACTGTATGACACATCTTTCTTGGGCTGAGCCTCAGCTTCTCCAGTTACAGCAGGAGGCAACGCCAGCCTGTAGGTACAACAGCCTTTTGACACTTGGGCAGCCCTTAGCCCTTTAGGGGAGTGTGAGTGTGGCCATGGGATAAGGGCTGGCACTACCCAGTCACTCCTGACCTTTCCCTGTGTCTGTCCTCAGTGCCAGCTGTGCTTTTGTCAGTGTCAAAAGGTCACCATAGCGCTTGATGCATTATGCTGGGTACTGGGGGGCGGGGGCAGTTGTCCTTGAAGCCACTGAGCTGCTAGCATCGAGTGTCACTGTTGGCCCTCTCCGGACTTCTATCTATTTGTTCTGTGAATGGGCGCAACGATCCACGTTCCGAGTGCTGAGAGTTTTTATATGAGGCAATGGTCACCCTAAGGCCACCCAGATACCCTGGCCGGTAACTGAGTTGTACCCAAATGGGCTCTGTCTCCCTGCAATGCCCCCAGCAGGGGGTGCTGGGCTGCTACCAAAGGTCTCCTTTCCTTCCAGGAGCCTCCCGGGGCAGCCTGGACAGCCTCAGCCGAGCCCTGGGCGTCCTGGAGGAGCGAGTCAACAGCTCGAGGCGGAGGGTGCGCAGGCATGCTACAGACGATGACTTCAACATCGAAGTCCTGCTGGGCGTGGACGACTCAGTGGTGCAGTTCCATGGGAAGGAGCACGTGCAGAAGTACCTGCTGACACTCATGAACATCGTGAGTCCAGGCGGAGGGGTGTCGGGGGAACAGGAGCGGGACCAGTCTCTCTTGGAGGCAGGGCTTGAGGAGAGCAGGGAAACTGGGCTGGGATAGGGACTGAGTGGTGGTGGCTGGGTGGGCCAATGGGTGGGTCCAATCAGAGACTAGGATGTTGGCAAACTGGGATGGGAGATGTGTGCGATGGATGGTGTTAATTGTCAACTGGGACATACCCCAGAATCACCTGGGAGCTGGTCCTGTGGGCACGCCTGCAGGGTATTATCTTGACTGCGTTAATTAAGGTGGGAAGACTCCTAGTGCCATTCCTGACTGGGATGCTGGGCTGTGTGAGTGCAAAGGGAGCTGAGCACCAGCATCCACCCCTCTCTGCTTCCTGATTGTGGCTGGGATGTGACCAGCTGCCCCAAGCTCCTGCTGCCTTGATTTCCCCCCTACTATGACCAACTGTGCTTTTGAACTGCGAGGCAGAATAAACTTTCTCGTTTCAGTTACTTTTGTCAGAGCGTATCGTCACAGAGAAAAGAAACTAAGACAGAGGGAGACCTGGAGGACTGGGCTGGACTCTAGGGTGTGGCCTTATGGGGCAGAGCTAAGCTGTCAGGCTAAGATCTTCTCCGTTCCAGAAGCCCCGATAAGAGGATAGGAGGTGAGCAGTAGAGGAAGGGACGAAGCTCTGGGCATGCCTGTCCCTCTCAAACGAAGCAGGAGGAGGGGTGCTCTGTGGAAGGAGGGTGAACTTACAGTGTGCTGCTGTGAAGGAGGACCTAGCTGGAGGTGGGCAGGCAGAGACACAGAGATACAGAGATGGGCTCCGCGTCCACAGCTTCACTAGGTCAGGTGGTGAGACCCTAGGAGCTAAGATGATGCATAGCTCAGCCTCCAGAGGGTCCTGGTTGAAAAGATAGAAGGGAGATAGGAGGGAGGAAGTGAAAGAGCTGGACGTGGGAAAGAGCTTGCCACTTGAGCCTCCTTCCTCTAAGCTGCCCTGGTGACGACCTTGGCTCTCTGAACCTCCCCACCTTGCCCCTGCAAAATTCTTTGTATCTGTGCATTTCATTTTGGAGAATGCTAATCTCGTATCAATTTTTGAAAAGTACCTTTAATTTAATTATAATAAAAAGCATAACTACTGAAGTTAATGAACCCCTGAGCTATGGCTGTAGTAATAATAGTAACAACCCAAATAAATAAAGCTGTAATTGTTGCAATTAACGATCTGCCAATGTGTGGCTGTGTGCCGGGCCCAGGCTGGCCACTTTCTGTGCAATAGCTCAGGAAATATTCACGCTAAGCCTATAAGACCGGTACACAGGCAAATCTCATCAGCCTCCAGAAGATGAACTCTTCCCCCAAGATCCACTGCTGTCCGACTCATAGGGGTAGGGTGGGACTCGGAATTAGAAAGGCTTGGTGTGTCTGTGTGAATGGGGGGTTCCAGTCCCCTGCGCCTTGGTGTTCCCAACATTAAAAAGGATCAGTTCCCTCTTGTACTGGTTTAAATAACATAATGAAGTGAATGGGCTTTTTTTTTTTTTTTCTCTAAGTAAGGTAAGGCGGTTTCAAACTCCAGATAAAATGTGGTTTTGCTCCCATGACAGTGACCACAGCACAGAAAGCACATTCCTAAGGACTCTTCAGGGTCCCCTGCCTGGAAGTGGGGTATCCGCTGGGAGTTCTTTATGGGGCAGAGGCTTGAAAATCCTCCTTTTCCCTGGTGGAGGTTCCCGTGTCACAGAGATCGTTGGAGGACATCTAAAACTCTCTCCACAAGCTTCATTCATGCACACATCCCCATGGTCTAACTGTAGCCCTGTTTTAAATAACAATGACAAGATGGGAGAGAACAGCAAGCCTAGGGGCACCGGCCTATCATCCCAGCTACCCAGGAAGTTGGAGCAGGGGGACCTCAAGTTCAAGACCAGACTGGGCAGCTTAGTGAGCTCTTGTTTCAAAACAAAAGTAGCCCAGCACTCGGGAGGCAAAGCCAGGTGGATTCTCTGTGAGTTTGAGGCCATCTGGTCTACAGAACGAGTCCCAGGACAGCCAGGGCTACACAGTAAAACCCTGTCTTGAAAAAACAACAAAACCCAACCATCCAAACAACAACAACAGAAAAGAATCAAAACAGAAGTGAGAGAAGAGCTAGGAATACAGAGGGTTGGCCAAGCAGGTGAGAGCCTTAGAGTCAAACTCAAGTACACAGGCCATCGCCGTCATTTTTGAGTGCACAATTTGTGATGTTAAGATCATTCACGTGGAAATGTAAACCTCACACCATCCATGCACAGGACTCCTTTCATCTTGTAAAGCCGAATCTCCCACCACTAAACACTAACTCCTCCTCACCTGGGTCTTGGCTGCCATAGTTCTGCTTTTGATCTCTGAATTTGATCACTCTGGACTGGTGTGCCCCAGAATTTGTGTGATATTTGTCCTTTGGAAGCCAGCTTATTTAAATTAGTGTGATAGTCTGAAGGTTGTTCATACTGTAACATGTTGGAATTCTGTGTGTGTGTGTGTGTGTGTGTGTTTTATTGTGTGTGTTTTGCTTTGTTTTTTGCTACAAGTCTTCCTATGTATCTCAAACTGGCCTTGAATTCATGATGCTTCTGCCTCCAGCCTCCTGAGTGCTAGAATCACAAGGGAATGCCCCATCTTCCCTTCCTCCCTGATGCTCAATAAGACCTATAGTGTATCTAGACAGGTTTTGCTCATCCGTTCATCCACTGATGGGCACCTGGGAAGCCTCCACCTCTTGACTGTTGTGAATAAGGCTGCTAGGAACATGGCTTACAGATTTCTGTTCACTACTCTGTTTTGCATTCCTTCGGCTGCGGACCCAGGAGTAGAAACACTGAATCATATGGTAATTCTATGTTTGACTTTTAAGAAACCACCACCACGCTGTTTTCCACAGCTGCTGTATCAACCATGTTCCCACCAATGATGTGTGAGTCTTCCCAGTTATCCCCAGCCCACAGCACTTGTCAACTTGATAGTAGCCACGATATTGGAGACATGACTTGTAATTAATCAGCACTGAAGTTTAAGTTGCCAGTGTGGCCAGTGGCAACTGTCCTGAGCGTTGCACGGTGGGAAAGCCTGCTGTTCCTCTGAACTTGAAATTGACCACCGTTTACTAAGTAAGCCTTAGTGGGTCTATGAACCTCAAGCCGCAACCCCAAATAGCCCTCAAAGGCCTGGCCAGTGGCTTGTCACAATCCTCTTCTAAGTCCACATCTGGTCCTGGGGTTCCCAAGGCTGGAACCAAAATAGCATCAGGCAGGGATCAGCGTAGTGTCGTGCTGGGATGTAGCTCAGTTAGGAGAGTGCATCTCTAGATGTGGCATTGGGCAGGCTCCAGCTGCACTCTGGGTCAGGCGGCCATTGACGAGTGATGGCAGGGAGAGACGGCTCCGCAGCTGGAGGACAAGTCTGGGCAGTAAGCTGCGCACTGAGCTGAGTGCTGTGTGAGAGATGCGACGCACACATGCCTACTCGACTCCCAGACCAAAATAACAACTGTACCAAAATTCAGCCCAGTGAAGCAGTGAGTTTTTATTGGGGTACACTAACTGGTACAGGGGTGAGGGGTCACTTCTAGCAACAGAGATGACTCAAAAGCAGCTGCACCCCTGAAAAGGCTCCACCTCCTAACGGGCTCTGTAACTACCCCAGACAGGCAGCACAAATAGCTGGGCACCAAGCATTCAAGCACATGAGCCTAGGGGAGCATCTTGTTCAAATCACACTGGAAAATGAGAATTTGTCAATCTGGCCTCACCCCTGCTTCATCTCAGACCCACCTGAGGGCAAGAGGTGTGTGTGGGGGGGGGGTGTGCTGGTCATTTTTCAAGACCTGCTTACCCTCAGGTACCACCCACTAACTCATTCCCTGCCAGCCAGACCCACTTTCCCCAGTTCCCTCCCTAAGTTCAGAAAAGTATTTTTCTCTCAGTTCATTAAAACAGTCTATATTTAACACAGATAATATATTATTTATGCCATAAGATTAGAGCGAACTCATATAGATCTCTCCATATTTTCTCTCCGAAGCTACTCTCCATGACTTTGTTTTAATGAGTGTGGAATGTTGCAGTGCGAAGACTGTGTTTTTTATGTAACATTATTTATGTGACCCATCCATGGGAGAAAACGCATTTCCCTCTTGGAGGTCAGGCATGCCACCCACCATTTTACATCCTTAGAGCTGGGTCATGTCCCCCATTCCCAATTATTTCCTTAGACCAAGCGCCTAAAAGTCAAATCTTCCAACAGGTAATGCACACATTAAAGTCTCCTATGCCAGAGTATTCTGTACGGCCTCATCTTCTGTGTCTGCCCCACCAACAGACCCATGCCTCATTCTTAGGTGTGGTAATTTATAGCTACAACTGTGGCGTCTTAATACTTTCTGTTGCAAACTACAGCTATTCTATTTACTTTCCTTTCATTCAGTTACTCTGTCTTTCTCTCTCTCTCTCTCTCTCTCTCTCTGTGTGTGTGTGTGTGTGTGTGTGTGTGTGACAGCAAGCACACAGGTGGGGGTCAGAAAATAACTTTCAAGAGTCACTTCTTTTCTTCCACCAACAGTCTTGCACGGTGAAGGGCTCAGAAGAATAACACCCTTGTCATTATTTTAGAGAAGATGCGCACAACAGATATTATATGAAAGAGGGTTATTGGATGGAGATGGAGAAAGACAGAGGAGAGAGGGAGAGAGACATGGTGGGGGAAGAGGGCACTCTGACAGAGAAAACAGGAGAGAGCAAGAACAAGAGAGCAAGAGAGATAAGACACAGGAGTCCTGTTTATCCCAGGACCATGTGGGTGGTGACCAATGATGACATCATAGGTTACTAGGCAACTGACAAGCAGGTTGCCTGAATGCTAAAAACCATAAGGTGTCATCTTGACACAGAGTATGCTTAGGGTCATTTCAGACATTGATGGAAAATTGGTCCTAGTTCCATGTCAAGATTCATTGGAAGATGATT